AGTCAACCCTGAGCCGGTGAGATTTGAACCGCTGACCTGCTGATCTAGCAGTAGCCTGCAGTGCTGCATTTAACCACTGCGCCACCTTGGCTCAAGTCACCATGAAGATCTCCAAGATATATTCTAAATTAAAGCTATGTGAAATGAACTTCTGGCTTGGTTTTAAATATTTAGGTAATGGCAATTCTGAGCCCTGGGTCAAAACTCAGGTTTTCTGATATGAGGTCTATCACCAATTCTGAGATATGCCTTGGGATAATTCCTCAGGGAATGCTCGGATCCGAAAATGAAGTGGTTTTTAAGCTTTCCAGAGCTGGGGGAGCATGAATATAGTTTTGCTTCTCAAATCTGAGCTCTGGTTCAAGAAGATTTTCTGACTGAATTCTGAGATACAGTAGTGGCCAAAATTCTGGAAACCTTTTGGAAAAGGGGTATTTTTGAGGTTTGATGGCCAATAACACTACTTTTCCTTTGAGTACCATGTTTCCCCGAAAATAAGGCATGCCCTGCTAATAAGCCCAATCGGGCTTTTCAGAGCATGCGCCATAATAAGCCCTCCCCCCAAATAAGCCCGCCCCAACTATTTAAGCGCATGCGCAACCGATCCCCGCCATCGCCACTGTACCACCTACTGGTACAACTTGCGGGGCAAAAAGAGGGCCCACCACAAAAACAGCAGCAGGCAAAGCAAAGTGGTTCCCCCCACCCTTCCCTCCTGCGCAAAAAGAGAGGCAGGCCAGCTGTAATGGCTCCTCTCCTAACTTAAGAAAGTAAAGACTCTTGAAACGGATTATTTCAAAAGGAACCTTTTATTAAGCAGAATGGAAAACCATTAGAGGCAAAGCAGCATATTCACATCATTCCATTCCATTCTATTAACAAATCCTTTTCTTTCTTTCCTCCTTTTAACCATTTTCTCTTAGTCTCTCAGGAACTTCATTTCTCTTATAATCTTTTCTCTCCGTCCATTTATTTGCCTTTTTCTTTTACTTGATCTTGACATTTTTATATTTTTTTTCTTTTGAATTCTTTTTCTCTTTTTTAATTCTCTTATTCTAGTGCCTCTCCCCATTTTTTCCCTACAACTTTCCTCAGTATTTTCCATTTAACTTTCCCTTTTTTGAGGCCATTTCCCTCTTGGGTATGTAACTATAAATCCCTGCATAATCATCAGAATATGTTTCTTTTTCAAGCTCTTTTTTATTTCTATGATACCCTCTTGTTTTTCATTCAGCCCCTTTTCTTTCTCCTTTTCCCCTTCTTCTGGCTCTACGTGTTCCCTCTGAGTTTCCATTATGTTTTCCCCAATTAGGGTTTCCCGTGCATTTTTTAACATATCAGTATTTCATTATACATCTAGGATTCCATATTGCCTGTTTATTTTATTTAACAAATTATTTAAGTTTTCTTTCTATTGTATGACTTTTGTATCACATTTACTTAGTCTTAAAGTTTTCTTTTCTTTTTCTTATTCTTGTTTCCAGCTTCTAAAATCCAGTTCCACTTTTTTTCCCTTCTGCCCAGCCAGTAAGTCCAGACCCCAATACTGTTCCAAAAACCACTCCTGTTATTTCACAGTTTCAAAGCATCCTTATCGGTTACAGTCAAGGCCAAATTGCAGGTGTATTTTCCCTATCAATTTCTGTTAGCTTTTGCAATTTCCTCTTCTCACCACTAGATGTCACCCTCTAAGCAATGTGTAATCACTTGTAATAAGTTTGTAATCAGCCAAAAGTTCTTCTCTGCCACCTGCTTTTCCAAATACTGATTTGTGGCAGTTGGTTAATTAAAACTTCCCGCACAGTCAAAGTCAAATTGTCCATTATCAGTAAGAAGGCATGCTTTTTTCTTCATTATATTAGCTGGAAGGAATTCAAAGACAGCAAAAGTATTGGTTTCTGTTTAAGATCCAAAACCAAATTTAGAGTTTATAATTGCGTGGGTTTGTCACTTCTCTGCTTTCTATCCTTCTGTCTGAAAGCTTTACAAACAAAGAGCTTCCGGGGGCGAGGGGGGGGGCTGGTGTTACAACCCTCCACCTTCCTTTCTTCCTTTTCTTTTGGGAAAAAAAGTCCCGATCTGACCATCAATATTATTTATGTTCTCAAGATTTCTTTGCCTTTTCCAGGTTTAATTTCTAGATGTGGGTTAGGCAAATTCTCTTACCAGGTCTTTTATCTCTCCCAGTCTCCTCCTCCTGCTCTATTTGCTTGACAAAAATCCAGCATCTTATCAGCCATACTGATGGCTGCCGCCCCGACTCCGATTCATAGGCAAATCTCTAACCCACGAGGGATCTGTTGCTTCCCTTAGGGTCTGAGGAGACGCTGCTCTTCTTCGCCCTCACTTCCAGTGGGGGTTCTGATTCAAAAGAATCTTCGGAGGTGGTTTGTCAGACAGGGTTCATGTGAGACTCTTAAGAGCCCACACCTCCCACGTCTGTCCAGCTGGAGAACTTCCTGTCCAATCCCAGGGTGAGAAATCAACTCTCTGTGCCTGAGAGCCAATGGCTATCCATCCTACAGACAAGCGAACCCACGAATCAAAATCTATGGGACATGCTGAGTTTGTCAGAGCCCTCCATTTAATAAAGCATCAATTATGGTGGTCCCACATGAAGGACATAGAGCAATATGTTGCTAGCTGCCCAGTGTGTATAGCAGCAAAAGGCTGCCCTGGTAAGTCGCCAGGGTTACTGCAGCTAGTTACCAACCCCATGGCACACTGGAAGCTGCTGCACAGTGATCTAGGTTGTCACCAACCTCTTTTCTTAGCAAGTACATTTTTAGCTTGTCCCAAAATCTGTTCTACATGTACTTAGCAAGGCTTTATGCAGCACACAAAGGCTTCACGGGCTGCCAGACTGGATAATCTGAGACAGGGATGTTGTCAGCCCTGGAGGCCATCTTTTTCTTTGGATCTTTAGAGCTGCCACATTTAGTGCTGTGGAAAAGTGGGAGAGTGTTTGCATGGAGTTGATATAATTATTTAGCCATAACAACATTCTTTCTTTGAGAGTCAAGGACGTTCAGCCTGCACCTGGAGAGGCGTGATTGGGAGGCATCTCCATTTGGGACAGTGGATTGATTGGACCATGTGATGGACATGTGGGTGCAAGGGACTTTAACTTTCTTTCGGGTAGGGAAAACCCACGAGCTTTCAGATTCGGGTTTTCCCAGATGTGCCAATATGACATCTCTAATAAATTGGATCTTTGAGGAACTGCTTGCCTCGGAGTCTTACTTGGTTAGGGGGGTTATTTGGAACACTGACAGGTGTCCAATTCATCTCACAATTCTGGCAAGAGTTTCTCAACCTGTTGGGGACCACTCAGGGGCTGTCCTTGCATCATCCTCAGACAAATGGAGCCTGTGAACGTACAAACGTCATGTTGGAGCAGTACCTTAGATCAGTTACCAACAAAATAAGTGGTCTGACCTCTTCCCATTCATAGAAATTGCATACAATAATGCAGTTTATTGCAGTATCGGACTCAGGCCATTCTGAGTGGTAACCAACCAAGACTTTGTGGTTATACCAGAATTGCCACAGAATGACAGAATGGATTAAATCCCTTCAAATTATACCTGGCCCATTGTGCACAAGGCATTAGAACAGTGATAGCTAAGCTTTTCGTCACCGAGTGCAAAATTAGAGCACACACGCACTGGCCAGCTGGTCTGCCATACATCTGTGCCGGCCAGCTGCTCTCTTCTAGGTTCCGGCATGCCAGTTGGTCTTCACGCAAACCCTAAATCAAAAGAGAGCAGCTGGCTGATGTACATGCGTTCATGCGTGTGATGGAAGAACAGCTGACGACGGTGCGCATGCCCACAGCAAAACTGTTACCAAAACAATTTGTTTGAAACCAGTTGGATATGCCTGGGAAAGTATGTATGCAGTTTTTATGTGCAAACAGTTGGGACAAGTTCGACAAATAGAAATACTTTTTAAAAAGTTTAAACTGCATTTCAGTCTGCACAATTTAAAGAAAAGTGCTGCAAAATATTGTATTACTAGGTTTAATTTTAACTTTTTAAATAATGCAGGTTTCATGTTAGAATGCTTCCTTTTAAGTAAAACATACAAAGTGGTCTTGTTTTTCAGAAGTATTCAAAATAAACACTGTAAAATCTCTTGTCCAAATAACTGGGAACAAGCATTTAAAATTTTTTACATCAGTTTAAATAATCAAGTAAATATTCCAATTATAACACAAATGTTTAGTGATATACCATAGTTGACAGATCCAATTACATCTATTTTGGAAAGACTAAAACAATGTTAAAAGTATTTTGGGAAGGAGAAATTATTAATCATAACTAATTTATGGATTAACCAAGGTTACCCTTAGAGAGACCTATTATCTATTAAACTTAGTCATGGATGGAACCCAATGTTTTATTCGAGGACTTGACTGTAGTACACATTTTAGGCATTAAAGAAAACCTACATTTTAAAAAGCAAATATGTAAATTGCCATCAAAATGAAATCTAAAACATAACATCATGTCATTGGATGTGAAATTTAACAGATTGGGACAATGATATACATGGACATAATACAATGGGAAATGGGCAAGGGCAGAAATACTTTAGAAAAATAATGCATGAAGAAATAAAAATGACACATTGGACAAAATGTGTTAATTTGGGATATAAAATTGGATTAGAAAACCTTTCTTCCCCTGTTACTCTGTCTATGTATTTGTAAAAGATAAATTTAACATCAAAATTTGAATGTTATAAAAATATATTAGAAAATATGTGTCTAAAATCTGCTATTTTTCATGATTATTATAGGCATAAAATATATGAAACTATAACTATAAATCTGGGTAACTTATAGGTATTATATGTATCCTTCTGTAGGAGGAATTGAATTAATTTCTTGCTTACGTGTTGAAAGGCCTCCTTTGTCTGCAAAACTAGGCGTCCATCTCCTTTGAGAGAGGCAACTGATGATGCCTCTCCGTATGAAACGGTTTTCCTGTTTACGGAGGTTGATAAAAGTTCTGCAGTACTTTAGTGGACCTGCTCCATTTCTTCCACTGGATCCTATAAAAATCACTTTCAAAATACACTTTTAATTGTGAGATGATGAATACTTGTAAATGTCCATACAAAAGGTAGGATAACGATGTTAGCTGCATTAATGTCATTAATTTTGTAGTTTGTAAATTCAGTTGCTTTTAATAGATTGGATACCACTAACCTCCAGGTCAGAAATAATATCAAATGGCACAAGAAATCAGATAATTACTCCGATTATTGTTATTTGGACATGTTAGCTAACAGAAACGTGAACTTATATTTTTCTATTCATTCCCAGCCCATTAGTTATTAAGTGTTCAGAACTAATAGAATTTAAAAATAAATGCATAAAAAGCCAACACCACAATTTGGTAGAGACCTTCCACCAACAGAATTTCCCTTTATTTTAGTTTATTAATCGGATACATAAGGAGGCACTTATTTCAAACTGCTGGGAGCTTCTTTTTTTTTCCTTTTAAAGATAGAAAGATATATAATATAACCCCTTCACATATGGTAACAAAGAATCGAGACAACTAATCAGAGAAGTCCATGCTACATGGCAAGCACCTGTTTCTGGAGAAGAAATATATTGCAAAAGAGGTTCAAAGCCCTTAGTAACGACTTTGGCAATAGAGGGACATTTACAGGAAGGCAGTGCTGGTTATTGACATAGGATTTAAGCAAGAATAAAGGCACAAAGTTAGCACTCCGGAAAAGTCATTTGCTGTAAGACGTGAAGCAAGCCATTTCTGTTTCTGTTCACATAGAGAGAGAGAGGCGTCACTGGAAGGAAGCATTAAGGCAGATGTCTCTGTTCCACAGATCTTATCTTAGGAAGGGCAAAGGTGTGTTAAGTGGGAGTGGGCTGAGAAGTAACTGAGGTCTTCTTTTAAAAAAAAAAAAAACTAGAATCAAAGAAGTGCCAATACAGTCCGTTTTATGAAGAAATATATACAACCGTCGCCCAGAGAGGGCAGATTGCTTTCTGTTGACAAGGCTTCCGTCTCGCTCCACAAACTCTTGGAATAATGATGGTTCTAAAGATAAGAGTAGCCAACATTAAAAAGAAAGAAAAAAGCCTTTTCAGAGACCATAGACTCCTATGAGAGTTTCTGTGGGGCAGGGGGAAATCTAATCTATCCTGGGACAGTGTTTGCCACAAAGAATCTGCCTCAACCGAGAAGCAAATATACTTCAGCTGAACTGAAGGACAAAAAAAATCTGCATCGGGAAGTAGGAACATTTTTCCGTATCTCGTCATCTCTGCAAAGATCACAGCTTCTCACCGCTTCTCTGTTGGAGATTGAGTAATTATCCTGGCCAATTTCATATTAAAATGATTAAATCATCTGCAACTGGCCATTGTTCTTTTCTAGTATTACATCAAGCTCATCCCAAATTGTATCTGGCAAACTAAGTTTGTCTCTTCCATTGAAGCATCCTCACTGGTTGTGCAAAGGGTGGCATGCATAAATCAGCACTATACCTGAGACTCAAAAACAATTTGATGCATTCCTCTTTCCAATGATTCTGTTTGATAAAATCTTCAGTTTCGTAAATCGGATTTATTAGCCATTTTTATTTGCTGTTCCATTATTTTTCAGAGCTATATGAAATATTGATCAATATTGTACTAAAATGCCATGGTGGAAAGATAAAAGTCTGAGAGGAAGATTTCACATATATTATAACTAAGGAATCAAAAGGGTGGCAGGGAGAATAGATCCAATCAACATTAATGGCGGGAGATTCTAACAAGTGTTAGTGGAAATACAATCTCTCTAGTTTTACACATTTGCAGGCATTCTCATCACAATCACTCAAGTACCTGGGGGTGGTTTCTCTATTTCCAACAAAGTGCAAAACAATTCCACAAAACAGAAGCGTCCATGTTCCCATGTGGTACGGCCACCATGAAAAACCGGGAAGAAATCAACCCTCCTCTTCCCAGAAGGGAAGACTCTGGTCATTAAATCCTTTCCTAGCCAAGACCCAGGGACACAGAGAGAAATAGAACAGGAATGCTTGGCTTCTCGGAGCTATTTACAGGTAATCAACCGACAGCATCTATTTCTTGACGTCTGTTGCTATGGTTGTGTTATTGTTATTGGAAAGAAAGGGAGGAGGAGAAGAAATGGGGGAAATGTGCTTGACATATAACTGACCACTTACAAAGAGCTTCTGCTCTTTGTAACCGGTCAGTTATAAGCCAAGGCACATAAAGGATTACACTAAAGATTAAGCATGAGTTCTTTCCATAAGATTAAGAAGCAAGGTTGCCTTCTCCTCTGAGTAGTGATCGTGGTTAATCCAGTAAGGAAGGCTCAGTTGGTCTGATAATGGTAGGCCGGTTTGGTGCTGCAGGAGGTCTTCTGCTGCAGAGAAGAGGAACAGAGAAACAGAAGGTGGAAATGAAAGAGACGTTGCCCAGGTATAAGAGCCTCAACATTCCTGCCCATTTCCCTGGTTCTTCTGAACTCCTATGCAATGTGCAAATGTTATAGAACTGTTGCTTATCTTCTAGACAGCCTAAGATCATTTCTCCTTTTCCTCTCCATCTCAACTTTTGCTGGCGTTTGACAACAATTACTTCTCTGGATGTGAAAGGAGGCTCTTAAAGTTACACCTGCTTTCCATAGATCGTCCAACCACTAAAAAAGCTGCACTATGCCAAGACTCTACATAAGCAATTTTCTAATTTTTTTAGACAGTATCTAAATCTTCTATATCAATTCAAAATGAATAAGTTTATACAGGAACAAAGACTGTGACTATTTCATAAGCACAGACTTATGCCATAGTCCAGGTTAAAAAATTAGCTAAGAGAAATCTGACCTGGCTCTTACCTGGGCACACCTGGAGGTATACCAGGTGGAATACGTGCCGGCCGGGAGGGAATTTGAGGCGGGGCTGGGAAAGGTTCATTATTAGTAATAAATGCATTTTGTGCTACAGGACGCAAAGGAATGGGTGGTGCCACGAAGGAGGATGAGCCTGCTGCTGGCACTGGAATCAAGGGAGGACCAGGCATGGGTCCCCTCACAGCTGGGGGTCTTCCTGGAGGCAACACGGTAGAAGGAGGCCTGCGCTGAGATGTTGGGCTGTAAGAGAAAAGAAAAAGGACGTATTAAAATATTAAAGTTAGTATAACAGAACTCCAAATAATATCAATCATTTTCAGACAAAGCAGACAACAACGTGTGAGGTTTATTTCAAAAGCAATAGAAGAATATTCTTATAGGTAAAAAATATCCACTACACAAAAAATCTTATTTTGATGAACAAAATTGTGACAGAATTAGAAGCTGACTAACAAACGCACACGGAAGAATGTGCATTTAGTTCAGTGTTATCGTTCTAGTAGTGATAAACCAACTACAGAGTTCCAAATGAAGGATCTGGACCAATCCCATTCAGCTGTGAGTCATTTGTGGCTTTTGGCTTTGTGATGCTCCATATTTTCATCCTTTCCCTTAACAAATAGCATACTAGAACCAACTCCTATATCGACTCACCTGTGCCCACCACCTCCCGACTGCAGCCACGTATCATCCACAGGAGGAGGAACTGGGGTGGAAACTGTACTGGTGGTGATGTCTCCAATTATATTCAACGCTTCCTTCAGGGCATGGTACATTCGCAACATGTCGTCCCTGCGCTGTGCCTGGTCTGCTGACTCCTCCATCAAGCTGTTTTGGTCTGCAGAGGAGTATAAGTAGGCCAGCAACTCCGAGTGGATGAAATCCTTGGTCTGTGAGGGACAGGTAACATTGGGTGCACAGGAAATGTAATGCTTTCCAACAACAATAGACTGGGCTGGGTAGATCAAGTGGAGTAACCTCAAGAGGCTGGTTTAGATCCCAACCCTGGCTATCTAGTCCTTGGAAATAGTGAGGGGAAAGGACACTTCCCCCAGATGGGATGCTGCACTCAACGATTCTGAAGAAGACTGTTCTGGCTTCAATTATCTACTGCATTATGGAAAGGTTCCCATAGATCATATGGTTATTTTAGTTCATATAATACGCCAATAAACACTGTTTAAAAAACACAAATACCATAATGGCTGAATCCACATAATACATTAAATAAAAAACAAATGAAAGTTTAAAACAGGAGCAGACAACCTTTAAATGGCAAAGGGTTACATTAAAAAAAACCTATATTTTGGCCTCATAACAGGGTACCTGATTATGTGGAACAAATTTTCTTGGAAAATCAAGTTAAGTGTAACTGCCAATATTTTTTTTATACAATGGGGGATAATTTTATGTGGGTAGACTGAAAGTATGAGAGGCGAAAGAAGCATCACAACTGTCTATGTGCTTCAATATGTGCACGTAAGAATCTAGGCCCATTATAAGTTGTATAATCAAATTTCCTAAGGAACCTCTTTGTAACCATGAAAAGGTTCCTTAGGAAACTTGATTATACAACTTATGATGGGCCTAGATTCTTACTGTGTTCCTCCGAGTGAAGTTGGACTAGTTCCAATTAAAACTTGTGCTCCTCAGTGCTGGCCAGACTGGCCAGTGCTAACTAAGCCTGCAGGGTCTCATGGCAGAGAAGCCGGTCTTTTATTCAGATGTGGCCAAGCTATTTTCCTTACATCTCACATTTTTATAGTTTTACTGGCTTCTGAATAAAAGATTTCGGCTCCTCTGCCACGTGGGCCAGCCTCTTCTGGAGCTCTCCGAAAAGTAAGTACAGTCAAGCCATTGGGAATAGGGTGGAGATCCGGCAGGGCAGTATGGGGGTGGGGGGTGGGGGGAGAATAGGCAGGGGGAAAGTTGCAACATTTCTACAGTTGGACATAAGGGTGAGTGGCCACATAAGAGGTGGCATTCAGCAGGTTCTGACCAGTTCTGGAAACTGGTAGCGGAAATTTTGAGTAGTTCGGAGAACCGGTAAATGCCACCTCTGACTGGCCCCGCCCCCGTCTATTCTCGGTCTCCTGAGTCCCAGCCAATCGTGAGGGAATGGAGATTTTACAGTATCCTTCCCCTGCCACGCCCACAGAACCAGTAGTAAAAAAAATTGAATCCCACCGTGCATAACTTTGCATAACTTTGGGACCAGGTCATAAGTACTTTTTTGGGGGTGTGTGTGTGTAATTTTGATTGGTCGCTAATTGAACTGTCATAACTCAATGACTACCTGTAGTTTCCTCCCTCTGCCACCCTGGCAAAATAAATGATCAAGGCATAGTTACATTATTTATCATGAGATGCATTATCGTCTTTGGCATAAGGTCTCGGATAGATTTGTTGATGATCCCAACGTATGAATCAACGAGATTGCGGATAGTTTCTACTTGGCGTTCCAGTTGAGGATCCATGGAAAAGGTGTTTTCCTGAGCTCCATCTTCATTTTCTACCTGTGTATAGGAAAAACGGACACTATTACAAGATAAAATGTCCAATGCCTCCAGCAATCAGAACCGCAGTTCTTTCATAGGTTAAGCGAAGGTCTGCTACCCAACTTTCAAAAAGGCCCATGAAGATGGCAGACTACAATGCTAATGCATAAAACCGATAATGTACAAATATTATTCTTTACCTTCTTCTTGCATTAAAGATCATCAAGAACATTAAAGTTCTTGCGAACTTCTTTTGCATCTTATTATTCCTCTTAAAATCTATTCTTATTATAAATTTATTTTCTACAGGATAACCCTTTTTAGCAAATAATGCATCTTGCCCTACTCATTCATCTTCACTTAGATGTGGAATATTTAATACAATGAAAAGAAATGTCTATAAATTATGAGGAGGTAGCAGTTTCTGTCTTAGGTTTAGAAAAACTATGCAATTCTTATACAGGCAAATTATGTTAATTACTTAAAACCCCAAGCTGATTATCTCCTTGATTCCTGCACTATGAATAGAAGAATAAAAGTTATCTCAGCTGAGTATGCTTCACATTTTATTTTTGTGTCTGTGTGTGTGTGACAATAAAGACTGGATTTCTGGAGTGTCTCAAAAGGATATTGCTTTGTCATTATTTTTTGACTCATAAATATTTCTTCAGTCATATCACAACTACAAATCATCCTTGTTTAGCAACTGAAAAACGCAAAACGCAAACTTCCTGAGGTTACATGAAGAGCTAGTACAGCTGTGTATCTTGTCTTTTTATGTACACTGAGAGCATATTCACCAAAGGCAAATTCCTTGTGCCCAATCAAGATTTCTGTTCTATTCTACTCTATACCAATGGGGTTCTGTTCCCGTGTTTTGGGAACCTGGTGCCTCAGCGCCGCTGTAAATTCCTTTCTCAGGGCTGGCGTACTTGAAGGGAGGCAGATGGCTATTTTGCACCTCTGGTTCCTGTTAGTGTCCATACGCCCCCATTTTCCACAGCGTTCTTTCACACCTCCAGCACTCTTCCCCTCCCAACCCCCCCCCCCTTACAGAAGTTGCTAGTGAGCTTCAAAGGAAGTGAAGATGAGCAGCTGATAATTTCGCCTAACAACTGCTTTGCTTAGAGATGCAAATTCTGATCCCTATTAGGGTAATTAATCAAAAGCTACCTATACCCAACTCCTCCTGAGGACACTTAAATCATTTGATGTTGCTGATTTTCAAGGTTGTATACTCCTGATTTTAGGCATAAGGTACTTCCAGAAAATGGCACCAACTGATAGGAAATTCTTCAGCAATTCCCTCGCTCCCCCCCCCCCTTCAACTAAAACTCTGAACAATATTTACTTGGTCTTTCTCAGGATAAACTCCAGCACGAAGGAAGGAGGCCTTCCAGCTATCCACGTCGTCCTGAGAATCGCAGGCAAGTTCAATCTGACGCAGATCTTTGTATACATTTCTAGAGTAGAAATGGACAATAAAAGAATTTACCCATCTAATTAAACGAGAGAAAATATCAACATCATGAAATAAAGTAAGAGAAATATCCTACAGTCTGTATTTACTAAACATAATTTTTGATTTGTTTGTAATGACATTAGCTGCATATTGATATTGCAATGATATTCTTCTATGATTGGTTCACAGAGGTCATTTGAGTGAAAGTGTTTGAGTGAACATTATACAGTATGTAGCATGAAGAATAAGAATATGAAAATGTAATGGGAAATGGAAAAACATACAGAGAAGTTTTAAGATATGCTAATGTTTGCTATTGCTGGGAGAAGCAAGAATAGCTAAGTACAAAGTGTGCACTTCACCCATTTTGTAAAGTGGAAATGAGAATTGAGTTCAAGAAGTCCACGAGTTACAACAGTACTCTGGACTGGAGTTTTCATTGCTAAGCAATATGGTTGTAAAGCCTATCATAAGACCGTGTTTAGCAGCAACTATTCTGGCAGTCCCAGATATCACTGTTAAGTGAGGACATAGACATTATTAAGCAATACTCCTGCATGATGGCAAGCCTCCAACTTCCTGCCAGTTTCCCAACTGACTGTGGGAAGTTGTGTTTCCCAACTGTGGGAAGCCTGCAGGGTACATCAGAAATCATGATTCATGGCCATGGCTGACTATGATGATCTAATTTTGAGCTGGGCCTCAAGTACCAGATCACAATCACTTGAATGAGGGGATGCTGTGAGAGCTTGAAATCCAAGCACTGGTTCTAAGTACCATTCAGTCAGCATTATTGCAACTTTGATGCAAAATTTATTGTTTCCAGTATCCTCCCAGGTATTGATGTTAGGTTGACTGGTCTGTAGTTTCCTGGGTCTGTTTTTATTTTTCCTTTTTTGAAGATGGGAACCACATCAGCTCTTTTCCAATCCTCAGGTAGTTCCCTGGTGCTCCGGGATTTTGGAAGATAGGGTACAATGGTTCTGAGATGACATCTGCTAGCTCCTTCAGAATTCTGTTAGGCAATCTATCAGGTCCAATATGATGTATGTATGTATGTATGTATGTATGTATGTATGTATGTATGTATATTTGCATATTTGTATATTTTTATGTATGTATATATGTTCCAGCATAACTCTGGAACATCTTGAGCAATTTCAACCAAACTTGGTACACAGATGACTTACTCTCTGGAAAGAAATACTGTGGGAGTAAGACAATCCTAACACCCCTAGGTGTGTGTGTGTGTGTGTGTGTGTGTGTGTGTGTGTGTGTGTTCAAGCATAACTCTAGAACACCTCGAACAATTTTAATCAAACTTATTTAACCAAAATAAACAGATGAGTTACTTTCTGAAAAAAAAATACTGTGTGGGTGAGATATCTTTAGTACCCCTTGGTGTGTGTGTGTGTGTGTGTGTGTGTGTGTGTGTTTTCATTGCAGCGTAACTCTGGAATGCCTGGGCTAATGAAATGAAAAGGAATGAATTATATCTATAGTGTCAAATCACAGTACTTTCCATAGTGATACTGTGCGTTTTGGATTCAAGCTCTGTTAAGATACAGCCTGTTGTGCCTTAAAATGTCTTCTACTGTACACAATGGAGTTGCCATCGTAATTCACAGTACTCCACAAGGGGTCTCCCTCTGGTAAGTGGGATTGGTTCTTAAAAAACAAACAAAAAAACCCCAGGCCTTCAGTTTCAAGCAAAGAGGGCAAGTTGTCGGGAGAGGCAGCTGCTAATGCAGATAATTACCTCAAAGTCTGTTCCCTGTAGAATTTTTCCCAGGCTGTTGGCCAGGGCAATTCTCACCACAGTGAGTGATGGCTTTTCCTGTCTAATACAGGATTCAGATAAACAAATCCTCAAGCAGCGCTGGGTCATCAGCTAGTTATATTATAATTGTCAACTCTGAAGCTGACCTATGACTCCATCATAGTTGGATGGAGTAGATGGGAACCTCAAAAAAAGAATATAAACTGTTGTATGAATATATGGGAAGTAAGGTTGGCTGTCAAAAAAAAAGGTATAGTGAATGATAGTGCAAACTAAAATTAGACAAATTTCTTCTGTTTGTGGTTATTTTGCCTCCAATTTCTTTTGCTTACTATTTCTTCTTGTTCCATTTTGCATTTTATTTGCCCAAAATGGGATAATGTGAATGTATGTAAGTGTGAAACTGTAAGAAAAATTAAATGATGAAAGATTCTTCAAATCCTACAGAACCCTAACTAACCTTTATATGATCATAATAGTTTGTGTCATTTTCAACCATCTTTTTTTCCCTTGAATTTCATATGCTTCTCTATTTCATTTCTTTCTGGATGTTTTCAAATACAATTCTTATCATTGCTGACCATTGCCCAAAAAGCAACAACTTGGGAAATGGCTCTAACTATTCTACCTCTGCTCACCTGTGATCTAATTTTCTCTCTTCATCTAACCAGAGTACTGTCCATGATTACTTTTTAAAGGAGATTTTATGAGTTATTGTATAGGCCAAGAGAAATGCACTTTGTTAAATCTCTTTTCAAAAGCTATATTTTTGCAGCACAGCTCCAACTTCCGTCATATAATATGTAACAAAAGATAAAGTTAAATTTGGTTTAACTATCAAGATATAAGCATATCTATGAAAGGTGGCTAAAAGCAAGAGAAAAAAGCACTATTTGATTTTCATCACTAATCTTCCAGTGTTTTTGTGCAAATACTATTACTCTGCTGTAACACAATGCTATATTTTTACAAGACAGAAAAATACTTGCAACTTACTTCGAGAAAAAAGAGAGGGGGAGATTCAGACGGATATAAACACTAATCTGCAAGTCTCCGTCATTTTGGTTTTCTGGCAAGTTCATCCATATGAGTTGAGCCAAGGAATTTAAACAGCTTCTTATAAAGATCTAGACTGAAGGGGGTGGTTATTTTTACCTTTGTTCTGTGTTAAAAATGGCAAAGACATGCTTGTTAGACATGAAGCCCTTCTCCACATCTCTTATTTTTAGGTTATCTAGAGGCAGCATATATTTCTTCTCTTTCTCCTATAAGAGAGAAAAAGTTACATGTAATTTTTCTTTGTTCCTTAAAAGGTGAACTCAATACTCTAATAAGAAGGTTCTGTGTTAAAATGAAGAAAAAGAAAAGAAATCAATTGATTAATAACAAACTATTTCCAATTCTACATTGGAAAAACCAGAGTTCTAGTCTTGCGTACATAGTCTCTTAGATTGAGACCAAAACACTTGCATTCACAGTTGACCAGAAATATATGATATAAGATATGACATAACATTCCTCTTAAGGTCATAGAAATAATAAGATACCATTTTTCCAATGGCTGAGCATTTTTTTATTTCTTCATTTAATTTTTTCTTCCTATCTTTCACCAGATATTTCTGGTGAAAGTCATTCAGATTTTGTTTAATAATTTTATACTGTTTTTGAAACCAACATTCTCAGATTTTTAGAGGCAGTTAGGTATTGTGATAATGGAACAGATCCCTGATGCCCTTTACGTGCCTATTGCAGGGGGAAATTCCAACTCCCCTCCCACTCAACACACAAAACAATAGTAATTTTTTGGGATAGACTTGGCAACTTTGGAGTCGCTCTGAAAAATTGTTAAACTTTTTATACACCTGACCTGGAAACTGAGAAGAAAAGAGTAAAGATTTTGACAGTGGAAATCTGCAACATCTTAAAAATCGGTGGAAGGAATGTAGAAACAATGGACTTGGGAATGAAAGGTTTCTAAAACAGTTTTCTTTAATAAGATGCAGCCTAAGAATAGTGAGAGCTCCCATCACCCTATGAGACACAAAGAACAGGCCCCTGCGAAAACTCCACATCTGGAAGTATTTACAGCTCTAGATTCTACATCCCTTCTTCCATATTGCAGGGTCAAAAAAATTCCCAAAAGTGATGTACAAAAAATGGCCTGAAAAATGGCTGAAAACCAACCCCAAAAAAACAGCTGAAAAATCAGCCCAAAAATGGCCCCGAAAAGGGCTGAAAAACAGGCCGAAAAACAGGCCGAACAATGAAGATTTCAAATCTTTAATTACCTCTCTCGAAGCTGTACAACAATCTGGATTTGAAAGGGGAAGTGTCAGATCCCTAAAAGTGAACTGCCATTCAATTGGGAGGAGGGGAGCCTCAGAGTTAAATCTGAGCTACATCTGTAACAACTGAGTTTTACAACTTTACAACTGGTTTCCTATCACCGGGAGACTGAAGGTCCCAACATCTCTGGAGGGATGTTTATGGTAGCCATGTGGGATAACTTACTTTAATGTCTAACTAGAGGTAGCCATGGGAACATGTGTTTTATTCGACTCTCAGGGCAGAAGAGTTAAGGAAACATCTTCACACTTGTGTATTGGCCAGAATCTGCATTCGGACAAAGGGGAGGGGGCATTATCAGCTTAATCCCACTTGCATGGCCTAAAGGTTTTCAGATGCTGCTTTGCTTCTAATGGTTTCCATCCTGACTGATTAAAGGTTCCTTTTGAAATAATCCTTTTCAAGAGTCTTTACTTTCTCAAGTTAGGAGAGGAGCCATTACAGTTACATAAACTTCCTTCACTATTGTTATCTGGTTCTCGTACCTTTTTCCTAAACAGTGAAACTTTGT